GGGGGAGGGCTGCTTACATATCCTCCAGTGAGGGATCAGGCCAATGTAGTTCACCGGAGATGAAATTCTGGCAATGGAAGGTAGAAAAGACTGCTCGTTGCAAAAGGGATGAGAAGAGGAAGGAAAGGGGAGGAATGGAGAGATAAGAAATGGACCAACACGGGAGCCCGGCTAACTCGCCTGATTTCTTTCTCAAGCTAGAAATGGGCCAACAGGCACAACTGTACCAAAAATAGGTGGGGGTGTCACCTTATTAATTGTTCTAGAATGCCCAGCACTTAAACCTTTTACTTATTTATGTTAAAATGTATCATTCTGACCTGGGTTCAACCTGAGTCAGCCGGGTCTACATACTTATTCAATGCCACTATCATACAAGAAGAAACTTCAACAAGTCTCAAGACAGAGCTATAGGGTCATCCCAGTTTTTAGATCGGTTGAATAATAATCATAAAAAGAGAGAAATCAGCCAACATATCTCAACAATTAATACAACATTGTCTACCTTGGAAGATACATGACCTAGTTATGAAGAAAACAAGGCTGCAGTCATTATCAAATTGGAACCCCCAAGTTTACTAATCCTTAATGTAACCTATTTAGTTCCTGACATTGAGCTATATAAAGCTTGATGTACAATGACATATGATTCTCATCCCATCAAACAATCACCAGTGCTGCATTTCCATTGCTCAAATGCATTCATATATTGATCTGAAATCATACATTTCAAGCTTCACCACATCTCAGAACCATGCAAGATGGAATCTCTTGAAGAACCAATATTCTTATACCCAAATATACAGCTTCTAACCAATTTAGCACTATTGGCAATCTAAATTGCCTGGATTTATATGTAAACTATATGCTCAGGGTAAAAGAGTTCAGGAGTTGAAGGGCAGCAAGATTAGTGATGAAATAATATTCTTATTATTTGCTCAATAACTGAAAAAAAAAAAAAAAGCATGCTTAGCACAGGAAGTGCAATAGTTGGATGTGATTTTATCTAATTAACAACAAGATATATATATATATAGCTGTATATTTGTGTGTGTGTGTGTGTGTAAACACACAATAAAAGTGGTAAATCAATCAACAATGGATCAACGAACAACTGATGCACCTTCCATTTAGTACAAGCGCAGTACGCTCCTGGCAATAGAATGAGAGTTTTTTGATCTGCTATTTCCAGACCCACTCCTCCAGCTGCTCCTTAACGGTGTTAAATAGAACCGTAAGAGGCCATTGTCAAGGTCGTTAGGACTGTACCTAGCACTTCGGTTGCGCTCTAAGACAAACTCCTCTCTTCTCTTCTTGCCCTGCTCATTGGTCTCTGCATTACTCTTCCTTGTACTGCTTAAGGATCCCCCCATGTTAAAGGAATTCCTCGAGCTAACACTGCTGTTGCAACGGAAGACCTTCCTGTTGAAAGCCCCTCTTGCTTCTCCGATGGCATCTCTCCGCAGCTCTGGCCAAGACTCAGAGAATGAGCGTTCAACCACATTTGCCCTGCAGTATGTCTCTTCATCCTCGTCTTTGGTACCGTTGCGCCTGTAAATCAAACCCCAAATGTTCCATGCCTTCCATCTGCGTGATTTCTTGGAGCCCTTCCGATCACCGCCACCAACTACAGAAGCACTATCTCTGAAAGCTGATTCAAAGCTCTCAGAACAATCATCCCTGAGAAAATTTGAGTTTGAATCCCTAGAATCTCTATCTGTAACTAGCAACTTTGGCCCATGGAAGTAATCAATAGTAGCAGGGGACACTTTGGCATTGGAAATGGACTTTGTCTCATCAATCTCTGCCACCACAGCTGCTTCCATCTTCCTAATCGAGCTAGAACGGTCAAGACTCTTCCTTCGTCTCTGGGAGGATGAATCAGAATAGTACTCCCTAGTCTGAGCCGATCCACCTGGATTTGTCTCGTCCTCATTGATGGAATTCATGGGCTCTTCAACAGGGATCTGATTATCAAATCGTCTAACCGGGGCAGGAACATCTTCCACAACTGAAAGCATCGGGGGGAGCCGTGGAAACGTTCTTCCAATGAGATAACCATCCCAAGAAGCCCTGGGCTCGTCCCATGAGTATCGCGGATCATCAAAAGACATCCGACCGGCATCAAGGGAGAACCTCGGATCAGTATCGCAGGATCTCCGTCCACATCCGTAATCTGCGATTTCCGACTGCGTCTCCCTGAACTGCCTACGCGACGGCTTTTCAGCCCGCATTGTAGTCGAGGCACCGTCGCCATCGCTGCGTTTCTTCATCTTCTGCTTTCTCCTCCACTTCTGCAATTTCTTGCTAAAAACCGAGGCGGCCAACCAGAAACTGCCTGCAATCTCCTTCAAATCCCTCCCCGGAGGCTTCTTACTGTGCGAATCGAGATCTATGTGATCCTTCATCTTCTTCACTTTCTCTTCCTCCACTTCCTCCACCACCACCACCTCCTCCTCCTCCACCTCCTCCTCCTCCTCCTCCTCCACCTCCTCCTCCTCCTCCTCCTCCTCCTCCTCCTCCTCCTCCTCTTCGTCGTCCTCCTCTTCGATCTCCTCGTCTCTCTCTTCAACAACGACAGCGTTCACATTGCTAGAAACGGTGGCAGCATCCTCCAGAACCTTAATTTCCTCCTCATTTTCCTCCTCTTCTCTGGACTCGAAAACGGGACCTCCAACCCCGGAAAAGCCTAAGGTCCTAGTTTCGACCTCAACGTCACGCCGGACCTCTTTTCTCTCAGCCTTACGTTCGTCGTCGAGGCTAAACAGAGACCAGAGAGTGTTCCGTACTCGAACGTCGCAGGATTTCCTCTGCGGCTCGAACACACCCGAGAAACCCTCGCCTCTCGGGCCGGAGAAGGACTTGCTTCGGCGGAGCTCTGGGAAGAAGGAAGAAGAAGAGGAGGCTTTATTCCGAATGCTGTTACTGTAGTTGGTAGTGGCGGTGCTAGTGTCTCCAACAACGCTGGAGCGATTGAAGATGGCTTTGAAGGCGGTGGAAGTGGAGGAGGAGGGGTTGCTCTTCCGGCGGGTCGCTGGATCCAAACAAGCAAGGCGTTCGCATAAACATGAGGGGCAGAAACCGGTGACGGGTTGGTCGGGATGACGATCGCAGGTGGAGAGACGGTGGGGTTGGGGGAGTTCGAGATTCATAACAGAAGGTGTACAATGCGCACCCAACAAGTTGTAGCTCTGTTCATGTTACAACCAACCTTTGGTAAGCTGAGATATCATCACAGAAGAGCTGCCGATAAAACTTGGGTCTGCGTTTTCTTCGTGAGCTTCGGTTACAAACTTACAACGAATTGACGAAAGCTTAAGCTCAGCGCGCGAGAGAGAATCAGAGTCCAGAGACAATGTGTGCAAGAGACAGAGTGTGTCGAAAAGCAAATACAAAACCCCTGAAAAACCCTCTTCAACTGATGCGACCCTTCTCTCCTGTGTTGGAATTTTCTTTGTTCGTTTTTCTCTTTCCTCTATCTATCCTGTCGAGTGTCTTCTTCTCTCCCTTTTGTTTCACTCTCTCTACTATTTTTTCTTTACTCTTCTTCTCTCGTTCGAGTCCGATTTTCAAAGATTCCTGTAAAGTGAAAAAGCAAAAGTGATCACGCCCCACTACTCTCTCTCACATTTTGCTTTCTCTCTCCTCTCTTTTACTTTCTTTCTCTTTACTTGTTTTTTCTTTTTTCCGGTTCTTTTTGTTTTTTCAGTTTTCTCTTTTTATCTTTTTCTGTTCCAGTGATTTTAACAGATGACCGTGACCCAGCAGCTCGGCTTGGCTTCCGCTGGAGATTGATTAGTGACTGACAGATCCTGATTTGCCTTCTAATCATGACTGATGATGATTGTTCATTAGAATGTATGAGAAACTCTAAGCTGCTAACTAACAACACAGACATCGGAATGCACTCTCAGTTACATTATGCGGCTCAGATGCTGCAAATGCAACTTGAGGGTTCCATCCTTTTATAGTAACCATTCAGAAAATTGTGATCGAACGGTTGATAAGTCTCGTGTGAAAACTGGAAGAAGGAGAATGGCCAATCAACCCTGACCGTGAATTGATGTCAAATTCACGGACAGGATGTGGTTTATAGGGGGGAGAGGGCTGAGAGGTTGGAATTCAGAATGCTGCATCGTGTGTATCGTACTTCTCCGTAAAAAAAACGGAGAATGACCGAGTGAAGGGAGTAGTATTATTGTAGTTGAGTCGCGGGTGGCCCCCAATTCAGCTGCTTCGTTTAATTAATTAATAGTCCCTGAAGTTTGCTACAGTTGTTCCGTTAAATTTGATAATTGCCTTTACCTCCCTTTATTAATTTTTTGGGTAAATTTGAAACCCCCTGTACATTGTTTTGCGACAAAGACCTTCTGAACGATGACCGTGAGACAAAGACCTATTCCTTAGCTGAAATTCGTCGTTTTAATTCTCATATTACCCTTATAATAAATACTTGAACCATAGGAAAAAAACACCGTTCGTTTATCTTCCCCAAGCAGCGACGATAAAAAAGGGGCATTATCATATAATAATAAATCTAAATTCTCTAATAAACCTACCAAACACCGTCTCTCTTTTTTTTCCTTCTCTACTCCACTTGCTTATGGTTCAGAACTTCATTCAAATCTTTTTCGCCTGCGACAAAGTGGCCTCTTCTCTTCTACTGCCCAGGAGACTAATGAAGGCAGGAGAGAATTCTTGGCTGAAGTACAGGAACTTAGTTGGAGCAACGTTTTCAGCGGAAGCTGATTGGAGGAGCAACGTTTTAGCTAATAAAAGCAAGAGTAGCCAATGCAGAAGGTGGGCAGCCATTTTCAGCAAAAGCAACAAAAGAGAATAAGCCTCCTTTCCGCAGGCGAGAGAGATCTGATGAAGTTCTGAACCAATGAGCAAGTGGAGTAGAGAAGGAAAAGAAAGAGAGACGGTGTTTGGTAGGTTTATTAGAGAATTTAGATTTATTATTATATGGCAATGCCCCTTCTTTGTCACAGCTGCTTGTATCGTGAGGTCGGAGAAGATGAATAGTACTTTTTTCCTAATTGTTTGAATATTTATTACAAGGGTAATATGGGGATTAAAATGGCAGATTTCAACGAAAAGTTAAAGAAAGGGGGTCTTTGTCTCACGGTCATAGAACTAGGGGGTCTTTGTCGCAAAACAAATTACAAGGGGTCTTTGTCAAGACCCTATCCTAAGGGTCTTTGTAATTTATCCTAATTTTTTAATACAGTTAAAATTTTCTAATAAAAAGTATGAAAATATCTAAAAATATATATACAATTATTTTGATCAAAATATTTATTTTTCAAATTTTCTCTTCTTATCAATCCTCACCCTAAATTTTTTCAATATATTTTTTAAAATTGATTTATTTTTCAAATGTGCCCCTTATTCATAAATTTTATATTATTTTTTTTAAATCAATGAGATATGTATTTTGGACATTTTCTTACTCTTACTAGAAAATTCTAATAAAAAGGGTTTACTTGTTGCAATTGTATCAAAAAGGTCAGGATAGTGATTATAATTAAAAAACTTTAAGGGAGATTCAAGCAATAAGCAATGTAAAATAGCTTCATAAAAGTTTTCAGCAATTTACCCTATACAATATTAACAAATTTGGAGGAAATAAACTAAACAAATCAGCCCCCACAACGTTCCACAATAAATTTCCACTATGTATTGGGAACATCTTCCAATGATAATATCAAAAATAATGATGTTATTATCAGAAGATGTTCTCAATACATGGCTGTGGGACGTTGTGGGGGCAATCTTGTGGAAGACCGAATCTGTTCTTCACATCTCCCACCTCACACGCACATCCTATCATGTATCGGAAACATCTCCCATATTTATATGCCTGTGGCTGTGAGACACTCATTTGTGAGGAGCAGATCCCATCACATCTTGTGGAGGCTGATTTGAACTCAAAGTAGTGGTCATCATATGTATATTTGTCAAAAAGAACATATGTTACGAAAATATACAAGATTGTAGGAAACCGTTTGGATAGTAAGATCAGAGATGGCTTCGGTCAGGGCAGACCCGTGCTTACACCGTCCCAACTGCCTCTTTCAACCTTGTATTAGGAATATTTCCCCATAAACATGAGAAAGAAGATATTTCCAATACAAAATTGTAAAGACTGTTCGAACGAGTGTTGACTATGATGAAAGCTGAACTTCCTCGCCTTCAGTCAGGACAAAACCCGTGCCAACAGTCTTTACTACCTTTCACTGAGAATATAAATTGAGAAAGGCTGTTAGAACGATGTAGGCATAGGTTTGTCCGGATGGAAGCCGATCTCCAATTTGAGAAGGTGGATGAAGAAGTATAGACCTCATTTCCACGATATAATAATCAATCATAACAATGTAAGTAAAACTGAATCGTTAATTATGTCGGGATTTGGTGGAAACCGGAAAGAACCAATGGCACCGCCTGCGACCACCGGCCCACCGCCCTTCCGACCTCGACCAAAGCTGAACCAAGCCAACTCCGGCCGACATCACCTGCTGCTGGGAGCGGAGGGAGACAAAAGGAAATAAAAAAAAAATAGTAAAAAAAAGAAAGAAAACGTGGTTGGCCAAAACGTCCCATCTGGTATGTCGCCTGGGGAGTCGTTACGGAACCCCATTTCTTTCTTTTCTCTCTATCTCTCATTCCGTCTGTTCAATGAAAATAACATTTCTTCCTTTTTTTTCTCGGTTTTTCTTTTTTCTTGCCGAATTTCTGCAGTCTGCTCGACTGCTCCTCTCTGTGTATTATTTTTCCAGGGTGGAAATGAATTTCGGTACCATAATTAAGAAATGAGTGCGTTCGTGTCTGTCTACGGGTTACGTCGCATGCATGTACTACGTCTACGTATATACACGTCATCTGCCGGTGTTTACACTGACCAGCACAGAGATCATATGCGTGACGATACATCAACACTCGGTGTTTGACCTATTTGATGCAAAACCTCTGCTCGCTCAAAACCATCTGATACAAGTTCGATCAACGATCCTCCCAAATGGATAGTCTAGATTTATAGTGCTCGTACTTGTGCACAACACACTACCACGTTCCTTTTCATCTCGATCAGAAAGAAAGTTGATCACTTGGTTAATAGAGAAAAGGCGTATATTGTAAGTGGGGTGTCGGTTTCGTAAATACCTTTCCCATTTTTTAACCAAAAAATGCAACAGTAGGGAGAGCATGTGATATTATCTTCACACAAATTACAGCTGGAGGAGAGAGAGAGAGAGAGGCCCCACCAGGTTCAACGGTGGATATACCAAGAAGAATGCGAGAATCGATTGCTGCCGCAGTGAGCAAAGCTGAGGATGGCCCCACCAAATTGGTGCTTGCCTGGCCTCGTGTCGTGTGTTCCCCTTTGCTATATTCTCTTACTGGTTGATAATAGAAAGAATGCAAGTGAAGAGTGAAGAGTGAATCTGAAGACCATCAATCTCAATGCACTGTAGTTCACAACTCGGTTTTTTTTTTTTATGAGTTGTTCTTGTCATCCTCCCCCGAGGAAATACGTTCTTACTATATGTCTTCACCGTCGGCTAGTCCTCGGGATCGGCATTTCAGACACCCGAGAACAGACAACGTGGGCCACATCTTCCGCCAACAACACTACACAAGGACCATTAGTAACTTGGAAAATGTGATCGTCCCCTACAAGTGAGTCACTCGTGGTCCAACGTGGCTAGAGGAATATCCACGTGGCAGATCCAAACTTTTGACTTGAAACATCAGCGTGTCATGTAAGACATCTGGATTGGCTGGGCCCCCATGTCGCTCTTCCCATTTTTTTAGTGATTACATCCCGCCACTAGCTACGTTCATACAATGTGTTCGTCCGGTGTAGAAGTGGATTCGAGCCGAGCCGAGTAGAATAGTATGAGGCTCAAGCTTGGCTCGAGACTGATTTACAAGGTTCGAGCTCGAGTTCAGTTTGAATTAGAATCTTGAGCTCGAATTCGATTCAAGTGAAAAATTCATAAGTTCGAGCTCGATTTTGAGAAAAAATATTTTATAAAAATAAAAAATTATATATAAAAATATTTTTTATTTGATATTTAAAAAATTAAGAATTATAATAATTAATATTTATAATATTTTTATTATATATATTATTTTTTATAATTATATATATATATATATATATATATATATATATATATATATATATTCGAGTCTCACGAGCCGAGCTCGAGCAGCTCGTGAAAAGCTTGTCTCATTGCCACCCTAGTCCAATCCAATTTTTTAAATATGTCATGTTGACCTCTGATTAGCTGAGTGGTTTTGACACGAATGACCCAATCAATTATGTTTTGGGAAAATCCCCGATTAATAACATGTACTTTGGGCCTAGTGCCACTTTGGTCCCCAAACTTTAAAATGCGACAATCCAATACCCAAACTTTCAAAACATGACAATCCAATACTTACTGTTAACAAGCTGTTAATCAACCGTTAAGTGACATTTAACAAAGACCTTGTCTTTTCCATTCAAGAAAGTTGAAGTCACCTTTGAGTGGGCATTCTAGTGACCCCAACTTTGTTGAATAGAATAGACAAGGATTTGGGGCTGTTAATTTTGTG